TCCCAAATCTCGCTCACCAGTCTCTCCCTCGCTTTATACAAACAAAAATGTATAAATTGCGTTTCTGTTTGTATAAAGCGAGAGAAAATTGTATATACACATGCAAATACATACATCTTCGTCCTATACACTTATAATTATACAATACAAATATTCTCCTGCCCAATTCTCTTTTGCCTTTCTCACTTTCTCGCTTTATACAAACACATATTATACAATACCAAAACAGATTATACAATTGCTTCTTTTGTATATATGTAAAGCGAAATAGTCAGCTTCTTTTGTATATATGTATAGCGAAAAAGCCATAGCAACCATAAAGTGGAGCACAATTATACAAACTATATAGCTATAACATACAAATATGATTTTTGTGTTTGCTATATGTGAAAATTACTCTTTAAAAATCATATAAATTTAAATGACCCTCCAAATTAAATCTATGTACATAAATTGAGATAAAGAGAGTAACGGGTCCTTGGGTCCGTGCTCACACAGACTCTTATATCTAGTCTCTCTAATAATAATAAGAGGAACTTTCACAAATAGCCACTATAATAAACTTAATTATGCTCCATAGCTATAGTTTGCATATTTATGGGCTGTAGCTACAATTTAAGCTATCTCGTTTGTATAATTCGTAGATTTGTATAAATTCGCAGGTTTGTATATTTCGTGGGTACATTTGTATAATTCAATTATTTTTGTATAAACTCAAAATAAAGAATTTATACAATTACAAACATCAAAAGTGTAAACAGTTATACAAAATATATTATACAAATTATGAATTATACAAAAGTTATACAAATTATATTATACAAAATCCGAATTATACAAACGTGCGAATTATACAAAACTAAAAAGCTGAGCTGCGTAATTATAACTAAAAGTAGGCTGCGAATTGTAATTAAGGCAAACTATAGCTAAGTTAAGTAATTAACTATTATATGTTTGCTTATATACGTAATTTTTCCTAATAATAATAATCTCTCCCAACTTATTTGGGCTTCTCTAAGCGGACCATCAGTTCAACCCATATGATAATAGAAGGCAAATTATTTGGGCTTCTTGCTTCAGCCTCCCTCTATTGAACCTAATATCTCTTTGAATTATATAAGGAAAGTTATGTATATATAGTTTGGCCAACGAGTTTATCGACATGACTGAAATATATGTTATATAAATATTCTATCAATGTATGTTGTGTATGTATCTGTGTATTATATGAATAATATATGTATGCTATTTTGTATATCTAGTATAAATATACACATTCTATACATTTTGCAAATTAATTGGCCAAAGACCGAAGAGTTTAAAATCGTAATTTTCCATGTTACTATATATTGTTGAATCTATAAGTCGTGCGCTCTTATTAAGATGGATTATTTGGATGAGTACATAAGTTGGTTAAAATAACTTTTAAGCATTATTTAATTTATATTGATATTTGGCAATTTTAAAAAAAGTGCTTTTATAAAATTGTAGAAACTTTGGTTTTTGTAATTCATGTTTTCATATTTGAAAGGGTTGAAATCACATTTTAATTTCAAATTTTAGGATGTTGTACCGTATAGTTTAATTGTTATATTTCTAACTCCAAGTTACAAAAAAAGATGAATAATAAAAGAAGTAGCCACAATGACCAAATTGATGTAATTTTCTCTGTGATTTGGTGACCAAAATGAATCAATGTTCTTAAAATTGTGTCTTTAATAGGGTACCGAACACTTAATGTGAAATAAAATAAAAATAAAAATTAAATATCAGGATACAATATTTTAAAGGCTCATTTGATCAAAGAACATGTTATTTCAAAATTATGTTGAGAATAGTTATATTAAGATTGTTATCACACCTTCAACGTGGTATAAAATAATAACATTACTATTTTGAGATAACTAATCTTTCTTAGAATAAGTTATCCCCTAATTTTCTCCTAATTAAACATGAGTTAAACTCATCCAAAAATTATTCTCGAAATTAGTTATTCCTTAATCCTCACTTAGAGTGGGATAAACATAATACTACAATCTTGAAATAATTAATCAAGATATATATTATCGTAATTTTATTTCAACCAAATATGAATAACGCATCTGAAAATTAATCTCGAAATTAGTTATCCCTTCCGCCTCCTACCAAATTAGTTAGCCCCACCCATCCTTGGCCCCACACCTTTTTCAACCACCCAATGTCAACCAGCCAAACTGGAAACTGAGTAAAGAGGGGAAAAGTGAGCCAATTTTCCTTCTCCCTCCGGCGTCGATAGAGCATCCAAATCCGCCGGAAAAATGAATTCCCGTTTCACATCTCTCGTTTCCCGATCACTCAAATCCAATCGCCACCACTATCTCTTACCTCAATTATTCTCTTCTTCCACCGCCACACCAGCATCTCCACCACAATACCCTCAAACCCTAGAGGGATTACGCCACCGGTTAGCGGCGGAGTCACTGACGCTATCCGATTTCACTAGACTCCAATCGGATAAAGAGTATTCAGTTGAGGTAGGGACGAAGAAGAAGCCGCTTCCTAAACCGAAATGGATGAAGGAAGCTATACCTGGAGGAGAGAAATACACACAGATCAAGAAGAAATTGAGGGAATTGAAGCTTCATACTGTTTGTGAAGAGGCGAAATGCCCTAATTTGGGAGAGTGCTGGTCCGGTGGTGAAACTGGTACAGCTACCGCTACCATCATGATTCTAGGTGATACTTGTACCAGAGGTTGCAGGTGATGCAATTTCTTGAATTCTGTCTATACATTATGATTTATTGCTGATTCAAATTAGTTTGGGATTGAGTTTTAGTTGATTGATTGATGTTAAATTGAAATTTTGTTGTACATGAGTTTCTAAGGAGAAAGATTGTATTTTTCCTTATTGTAGAAAAGAAAGATTCTTTTTTCCTTTTCTGGCAGTTGATAGTTAGAGCTAAGGGAAGTTTTTTTTTTGTTTGGGGGAGATGAGGTGAGGGGAAAGGAAGGAAATGTTAAATGACGATGTGTAAGCACAATTGCGTTTATCTCTTTGTTATGTTTCTGTGTGAGAAAGGAACTGAACTGGATATATTTGTTCAACAAAATAGATAACATGGTGACACTTTCCTACTATCCTAGACACTTCTGTCAATATGACGGATGCAAAATAAGCTGAATGATGGAAATGAATTGACATGCCAAAAGTATTATGGTAGTAGATTGTAGTTAGGAACTGAAGGTATAACAATAATAACAGTGAAAGTTAATTTGGATTTTCATGGTCATAGTGGATTCTGTTAGATAGGGATGAGAAACAAGAATTTTAATTTCTTGGCTCATCTCTTTTTCTCTCTCTCAGCCAACCTGTTTTTAGTGTATGTGCACTGTGGTTATTGAGGAAGGGTAGAAGAGATCTTTTAAAGTAGATTGAATTTAGATTTGCTTCAGGCATGGATAAACAAGACTTATGATCCATGTGATAATCATTTACTAAATCTGGCCTTTGAAATTTCAGATTCTGCAATGTGAAGACTTCACGCACTCCACCTCCTCCTGACCCAAATGAACCTGCCAATGTGGCTGAGGCCATTGCTTCATGGGGATTAGATTACATTGTGATCACTAGTGTTGACCGTGATGATTTACCTGATCAAGGAAGTGGTCATTTCACTGAGACAGTGCAGAAGTTGAAGGCATTGAAGCCACATATACTCATAGAAGCACTGAGTAAGCGCTCCTTTTTTAAATACCTTGTTAACTTTCTTCCTAGACCAGAACCCCAAAAAGCTGTGAACATTTATATGGCTTCAGACTTTGTTTACTCTATTACCTTTGTGCTTGATCTGATATATAAGATAGTCTACAAAAGTTCAATAAAGTTACTGCAATTAGACTGATAAATGGCAACAGTCTGCCTTGTGCAAATAAGTGGTGTTCCTTATTTTATTGTTACATCACTGAACAATCATTGCACATCTAGCGTCATAATAAGAAGTCCAACTTCTTGTCATCCATACACATGCTTCTGTTTTTGTACTTCATCCTCTTTGGCTCTTTCTCCTTCTCCCCCTGCGCCATCAGTTTGATGTGCTGTAATTTGATTTGATTATCTTCGGGTTGTTAGTGGACCTTGGCTGTATGAGTGCCTGAATCTCATCCAGTAACGTCTATCCTTTTCTCGTAGCCATGACAAATTAATGCCAACAGAGCTCATGACATAACGACACTTTCTGGAGTATGAAATTCACATATTTATTTTGGTCTGATTCTTTTGAGAATCTAGATATTCTGTTTGTAAGACATATGATTAAAGGTATTACTTCCTAGTTTTTGACCTTTAAATACAGTTACAAAAGTAGTCTATACCTTGTTTTAGCTTTCTGGATATTAAGCGATCTAACGTTCATTTGGGTATCGCAGAAGTTATTATAAAATGAGTTTACTGGGAAAATGTCATTTAAGTTGAATTTTTTTTTTTCTTTTTTGAAATGAGAGGAGCAGGAGCTGGTCACAAGATTTTGTCAAAGTCCTATAGACAAAGGATCTTGTTTATAGATACCATTTATGCTTTTCCTTCCATTATATAACTAATTAAACACATACAAATTATAGAAGTTTAACTTTTGTCCCTTTATTTTCCTTTTATCCATCAGTTAAGAATACGTAAATAGGTGGTTTGGAGCCTTTGTTTAGTTGGCACTCTAGTTGCTCAAACAGGGATTTTGGCAAGTGTAATGGTTCCCTTTGTCCAAGTGCTATTCTCAGTCATATTTACCTTCTTTTTAAAAGTTTAATCAAAGAAAAGAAATAGTGAATGACATATTGACATTGGAATTTGTATAACGCCAGCCTATTTGTGTATCTGTTTGTCCGATCACATAGTCAAAGTCAAACAAAAAGGTTGTGATATTATCTGATTTCATGCTGCAGCTCCAGATTTTCGAGGTGATCCTGGGTGTGTAGAGAAAGTTGCGAAATCTGGATTAGATGTTTTTGCTCATAACATTGAAACTGTTGAAGAGCTTCAGAGTGTAGTACGAGATCATCGTGCTAACTTCAAGCAGTCCATGGACGTTCTGAAGATGGCCAAGGAGTATGCCCCTGCTGGGACATTGACAAAGACTTCAATAATGTTGGGCTGTGGGGAAACCCCCGAACAAGTTGTTAGAACAATGGAAAAAGTGCGTGCAGCGGGTGTTGATGTAATGACATTTGGCCAGTACATGAGACCATCAAAGCGTCACATGCCTGTTACTGAATACATAACCCCCGACGCCTTTGAGAATTATCAAGTTCTCGGCACACAAATGGTTTGTTACCTCCTCCTCCCTTTTTATTTTTTAATATGTCTTCCTGCATATCATGTTCCTGAGTGGGTATTGGGTAATATAGTATGTAGCTTGTGATGGAGATACTATATCACGTCTAAAGAAAATATATATCTCAATGTCTAATCTGTTTTAAGGTTTGGAGATTGTAAGTTTGCTACAATGGAGAAGGTTGAAATTAATTAGGTGAAGGCCAAAGGTGCATCATTGTATTAATTTGTCAGTCCATTGCCCATTTGGCACAATATTGAGTAGTGGCAAATCCTTGGAGTCCTTGCTTTTTTTCTTTACATCTGTTTTTTTCAATGTTTGAGATTACGCAAAGGGAGCAATCTGGAGTTATTGTGGTTTTCTTTCATGAAGGGCAGGGTTTTGTAGTTAATCATAGAAAGTAAAGAAACGAAGGGGGGTGCTATAAGCAAATAGATTTACTTTTGAGAACCTCTTTCAATCTAGAGCCCTCATACTGGTTGAAGCAACAATGACGCCTTTTCTTCAAACAGCTTCACATGAGATGTTTCTGTACTTCTCCCTTTAATTCTCCAATATCCATAAAGAAGTTGAGCATATTTGTTCTTTTTACCTTTAGATGTTCAGATCCAAGCCCCCAATTATGCTTAGTTGTCATCTTCCAAGTTACGGAAAGGGATATTCTGGTTTTCTTGATTATTAAATTATCAGAAGGGAAGGGGTGTATTTGAAAGTTCTCTTTATGTTAAAATATTTGATGGATTAGTTGGTCTTCTACAAGTGTGCATGTAAGGCAAAACCACATGTCTGCTGATAGACATCATAGTTTCCGTGGAGCTGGGATGCAAAGGAAGGAAGAATGAGCAGTTTATGCCTTTTAAGACTAGACAATTGGGATTGGGTGGACTAATATGAGTTGTGAAAAATCTGGGGATCATGCTGTGATTTCGCCCTCCTCTTAAGAGGTACATTATGGTAACTCACTACTTGCACCAGTGAGGGGTCAATGGCTTTGTTGTGAATGGAATTCTCTATTCATTGAGTGAGGAATTAAGTTTGCCTCCGACATTGGAAAATTTTTATTAGTCAAAAGGTCTGATCTTGCCAGATTATTTCCCATTTTTTAATGTGTGAAGTCCTAATTGTTTTAGCTAGTAGGATGAGACAAAACCAATGTGATTATATTAACTCAAGTAGAGCCCACGGATCAGACCCCACTTGTGGGATTACATTGGTACGCTGTTGCTGAATAGCGCCCATGGTGAACTGTATGGTTATGTTAGGTTCTTCTTTTGTTTTCTAGTTTTATTTTTCTGATAAACATTGTAACTCTTTGTGTTTCTATGAGAACATTATCCCACTAAAACCCCCTGGCAATCAGGGTTGAAGGAAAATTTCTAGGGATTTGTTTAGAAGATAATTTTAATTTTGGGTAGATCCTATGTTATTTTGCGATTCTACGGTGGCTGCTTTGGTGTAGTTCTGCTTTCTGGAAAGATTCTTCATTTTTCATGTTTTTGGAGGATAGTTACTTATTTGTATGGACTTGGTGCAAATGTATGTTGGTAAGTGTTTGTTCCTCACAAGGACGAATGGTGGATGTAGTAGTGCTTGTGAGGAACAGGGAACCTTGATATTCAGGACAAGGTAGGAGTGGCCTCCGTGGTGGACAAGATGGTTCGGGTATGTGAGGAGGAGATGCACTGATGCCCCAGTGACCTGCAATCTGGAACAACTCAAAATTATGTTGACTTTACATTCTGTTGCAGTTCATCTTTTGTTTTGGTGCAAGTACGAATTTTAATATCTCGTTTTGATTTTTTAAAATTATGACTGTATGTATTTTCGAAGAAAAATTAGAAAGAACTTTGAGTGTTCAAATCTCTGATTTATAACAAGTCAATTCCGAGTTTCAAGTATTTAAACTAGTCGTACAGGTAATGGATAAATCTGAGAATTACGTCTCTGGCCTTCTTGCTCAAAATATAGCATGGATTGGTTATTTTTCTTATTTCTGCATTTTATTTTGCCTAACTTCACTCAGCATCATCTAGCAATGTTTAATTGGAACTACTTTATTGTTGCATCGACATGGTTGAACTCGAAGCTTGAAATGTTGCTTCATTACTATATTTTGATATCAAATGCCACCTAGTTATTTGGGTACTGTTAATAAACTACTTGGTTTTTCTGCAGGGATTTCGATATGTGGCTTCTGGCCCCATGGTTAGGTCGTCATACAAGGCAGGGGAATTCTATATTAAATCCATGATAGAATCTGATCGTGCAGCATCCTCGTCTTAGCTTCTGGCTTTGAGATGATACATTGCATTTTGTACCACAAACATGATGTCCACACAACATTTTTTGAGATTGAAAAGCTTAGTTAGCCATCTGACTCTTGTTTTCTGTTGGCCATGTTTCCTCTAAGAGAAAAGAGCTCCAAAAAAAAGGTGTAGATATTCAAAAGTCTGATGGGCTATAATATTTGCCTTATGTAAGCTGTTGCTATATCTAATAATCTCATGCAGTTGTACATTAACTTAATGTAATTATCCTTTCAATATTGATTTTACTTTGCCATACATAAGCATCAGAAAGCTTGATTTTGTGCAATTTTATAGTTCAACTTGGTTGAAATTTGTCGATGTTGCCCAATTTTTTCATGCAAGGGGATTTCTAAGGCCTTGTATGGTGTATGGATGTCATTTGGTATCTTGTGTCTACATTACTGTCTTGTCATTCCGTAAGGAACTTTATTTCCGTGTTATGGGCGTTTTAGCAACAAGGCTACCGTCAGCATCCGGTTTGTTTATTTGGTTTCTCACTCGGTGTATTATCCTCTTATAGGGGTTTGACGATGGACTGAATCTGAATTCGTCCATTACACAACCCATTTTTGGGGGAAATAGTTGATGTGAAAATTTGTAATTGCTAGTAACATGTAAGTTTGGGCATTCCACACTCTTCTTTCTTTTCTTAATTTGGCCAATTCAACCTTTCTTGGCGTTTCTATGAAACAGTTTTACATTATCATTTTTGTGGTTGTCAATTTGTCAATGGAAATCCATTTAAATCGAGGAGTTGTCAAATGGAATGTTGGAATGGTCATTTAAAAAAAACAAAATTGTAACAATGTCTCTTGGTCATTTCTACAAAAGCATTCTACAAAAGGATTTAAAGGGACATATTATTTAAGTAGAAAAGATAAAGCTCCAACACAAAAGCTTATAAAATGACACTGTTTATAAAATGCATTTCATGATCATAAATACAAATTATGTATGTCAAATTCCTGACTAGTGCAGTGGAAGTAATCTCCACTTCACATGTGCACTCGTTGAAGAAACGAAAGTCAAGGATTCAACTTCATACATTTCTGGAATGATGAGAAATGACTTACTGAAGGTGAAGGAACAAGTTACCTTGTAGAGCTTGTTTTCCGTAGAAAAGTCATTTTAAAGTAACTTGTTTTCCGCTTTCTAAAATATTTTGACCAATCTAACATGAGAAAATTGAAAAATGTTTTCCTTCCTAGCAAAGACATTTAACTTCTTCTCTTGTAAGGCCATCAAAAGGTATCTTATATCTAACTTGTAAGTAAATATACAACCGTTTAGCTTGGTAACGAAAAGTATTCAATTGATACTTGAGGAACTATTTTAAACCATCAACCAAAAAGAAGTTTTTTCTCATTTTCTCCCAAATGTACACAAACAGTAACTTCATCAGTTTTTCTCAATAGAGGATCATGCAAAGTAACTCCAAAAAAAACTAGTTAGTTGCACAAAAAGAAACCGAACAAATTCAAAATGACTTGTACAAAAGCATTCTTTCAAAAAAGTGGTCCAACAACATAGAGAGTGACCAAATCATGGAACAATTGTTTGGCTGCACAACTTCTCCAATCTCTTTTCTGATAATATGGAGTTCAAAATAACTTCTTATTTCTAAGAATGGATACTCTCTTATAAGGTTTTGGATTGTGCACTACTTCTGTTGAGAGCAAATAATCCTCTGTACGAATTAAGAACGTATACTTCTGCTATGAGCTCACCATCCTCTGTACGAAACTTGATAAGTGCTAACGCTTCTAGATGTTTTGATGATCTCCTCACAAGTGCAGGGACCAGGTCCTCTGCAGAGTATGCTCGTCCAGTGTCAATATGCTGTACAACTGTAAAAGCTGTCTGCGTCAGGAAGTTGGTGGAGTTGCAGAGTACTCCACCAATCAGAAGCGACGAGGGTGTTTGTACATTGGATAATAATTCTTCTTGTCCAATATATTCAACTTACAAACAACAAAAAAGATAATTCATTCAAACAGAGACATTTCAAGCTTCAAAAAACAGCAGGGACCTGATAGAGTGCTTCATTTGCTTTCTGTACCAGCTGTTACTTTGTTTGCTTGTAATCGTGCTTATATTGTAGGATTCGTTTCACTTATGAAAGAAACATTTCAATCTTGTGTGAATCATTGTAAGAACTAGGTTAAGGGTAACTTAATTTCTTACTCTAAAGTCTATATTAATCGGTTAGGATTAGTATAATGGGCAGTGTTGTATCTGCTCTGGCTTAGCTAAGTGATAGGAGGTATTGCTTAGTGTGGAGATTAGCAGACTAATCTCATTTTGTAAACGGACTTTTACTTTTGCTTGGAGAAGATTAGTGGAAGGAGCTTGAAAAGTCATGTTGAGAACATGTCGTGGCTTTACTCCCTTGAGCAAGAAGGTTTCCACGTAAAGTTGATTGTCAATCTTTACTTTCAGTATTTGTTCTTTACTGCTTATTACTGTAACTGTATTGAGGACCTGGTCCCATCTAAAATCCAGAGGTAAGGAGTTATTGATTGTGCAGGTATATGTAGATGACATCATACTTGAAGCCACCTCAGACTCACTTTGCAAAAAGTTTGCTGAGTTGATGAGTAGTGAATTTTTAATGAGCATG